GCTTATACTTCTAGATCTACTTCTCCAGACTGACTTAATGGATAAAGTTCCCAACTTTATCCATTAGGACTTTACCATAGGACAAGATCTTAAACCCTAAGTCCATTAATTCCTAATTGTGACCAAAAGTCAAACATGAGGCTAAGAACACTCAAGCTAAGACCTTTTTCTCACTAGCTCATAAGTTCATGACCAATGAGCACCACATCAAACTCTAGAGTTCCTCAAACTCCAAGAGCACTCAAGAATGGGACCAAATCATCCAAAAATGGGCTCAAACATCCAACAAGAAGCACAAAGGTCAAGATATGAACTTTATACCTCCAATAACTCAGAAATGTGAAGAAGATATTGGATCCAAGCTTGCTCCTTACTTCCTTCCACCAAAATTATACATCTTCTTCTTCAAATTTGACCAAATGAATCAAACAACCTCATGATATATACACCAAGTTCATGTCCATGGAAGAGAAGAAAGGGTTTCGAGATGAAGGGATGGAGGTTGAAGAAGACAACCTAAAATGGGGGTTAAAATTCTTAAATATGGATGAAACCCTAAAAATATGTGGGCTTGGGCATGAACAGGAGACACGTCGTGGCCTTCCATTTCCACGCCGTGGTGGCCCTTGAAAACACGCGTTCGGCAAGTATCACGCCATGTCGTGGGCATCTAAGCTCCACATCGTGGCTGAGGGCCAGCTCCAAAAATCCTTATTTATTCATTAAGTCTTGGCCCACCATATTCGAAAAATGGGATGTTACAGCCATGATCCAACCATGGTCTTTCATACCAAAACTACAATGATTAACTAGCATACACCAACGCAAAATGACCCCTAGTCTACTAGACCTCATTAGGTGTTTGGGTTGTGTTTTGAACCTCAAGGACTTCATCAAAGAAGAACAAGTGAAGAGACCCTCAACACAACCCTCAACCTAAGCCTAATCACTAACTCTTTCATGTGCCACCATTGATGCTTCTAATTTTCCAAACAGGAAAAACCTGAATCCTCGGTATCTTCTCCCTAGGTCACCAACTAACTGTTGAATAAAATTCCTCTAACGAGCTTCCTTCTTGACAACTATCTGAACCTACTAACCTATATTCTTGAATACAAAACTTTGAGATGGCATGCAACCCCGTAATATTTTCACTTTATAGAAGCAAAACTCCCCCACTTAGTATTGACTAGAATCTGATGTATTGTAACCGCTTAAAGCACAAGACCAATCCATACCACTACCCCACTTGGTCCTTAACAACAATATCTAGCATCCAAGAGGCTAAAAGAAATCTGAAACCTTTTTCCAATGGTTAAAATCCCACCATTCACAATCCAGCAACAATAAATAGTTCAACCATAAATAATCATCTTAATAAAGATCTAGAGGTTTTTAAATACACATCATCCATCAGGTCAACGTGGATTACAATTTAAACAACAAAATAAATTGGAAAAGTATTGATGGCACCCGACCAAACTGGAAAAACTGATAACTCAAACCCTAGCTTTGAGACCCCCAGCTATCCCATGACACCCATCCGGTAACTATCATGCTAAATTTATTGGATCCTATACCATCCCATCTCCTCTAAATGGAAAATCAACCTTAACATGGTCTGGTTGAGTCTGAATGTAAATGAAATATACCCTTCACTCTCTCTATCTCTCTCTCTCTCTCTCTCTCTCTCTCTCTCTCTCTCTCTCTCTCTCTCTCTCTCTCTCTCTCTCTCTCTCTCTCTCTCTCTTCTCTCTATCTCTTTCTTTTATCTCTCTCTCTTCTTTCTCTCTCTCTCTCTCTCTCTCTCTCTCTCTCTCTCTCTCTCTCTCTCTCTCTCTCTATCTCTCTCTCTTTGCCTCTCTCTCTGACTACAGTCCCAACCATAGTGACCCTCCTGACCGCATATGAATTATCTTGAATTTGGTGCACGAAAAATTCCCCTATGTGCCAAAACACACCTAGCACAAAACCCTTGAATCCCCTGGTCTCCTGGTAAGGCTTCGTATGTTTTGATCTTTTTGACTGCTAGTGCTGATTCGTAAACCTGATCATGCTTTCGTTTTTGTTTTTGGGTCTCTAACTCCACCTCTCTATTCTTGGATGCATCCACCAACTTAAGTGGAAAGGTTCACAAACTCACGGATCTTTGTCCTCAACATATCATGATAGCGGGCGATCCTCATCTCCTTCGTAGCAGCATACAGTGGGATAAACAATGCTCTATCTTTCTCTAAACTTAGAGGTGATCTCAGCCACCATCTCTATTGTCTTCCCAGGCACCAGATACGTCGTGCTAAATGTTGAACCTCAATCATCAGCATAAACTTTGTCACATCCTCGGCCGGTTGCAAAAACTCCGGGCTATGCAAAGTTAGGATGTTGGATCACAATCATTGAACATACATTGAACAGTACAAAAGAATATGTAACATAAATATCACTTCCATTTCTAGGTAAAACATTACATCGGAAAAATGTTTTAGAAGTACTAGTGTTTCTACTACAAGAGGTGCCTTAACAATTAGACATAACTATGAAGATAATAGGTCTTCAGTAGCTTTTCTGATCAACCACTGCTTCCGGAGATGCAATCTTCTATCACTCGGTTACCTAGGAATACATGTGGTTTTGAGAGGTCAACATAATGTTGGTGAATTCACATGTTTTGTATTTTATACTTTGAAAATACTTTTTGTATATAACTTTTTTAAGTTATAAAACTATTTAAATTCTTTGCGGATAATGTTCTACCAGTCATAGGTACTAGGGTTTATGTAATTCCATTCATCTTATATACTACTAGTGTATCCATATAATACGTGTATACTTAAGGAAATGGGTGCTTTTAAGAGTAGGCTAACCGAGAATGACCTCAATGTAGGTTATTTGGACACAGTTCAACCTTTTCTTATATAACTATATACTTATGACATGAATGGAGTCTCAATGCTTTATTATATAATTATAATTAATATATAATTATATTTAAATAGATATTCTTAGTAAATCCAAATGGCGAAGTGGTAATATAACCATTATTCGAGTTGAGGGATGGCATACCATACTCTAGTTATCTGTTTGAAATTGGGTGTAGTGACGGTATAATATACCACAATTATCCGCTTGAATCGAGTGTAATGAGGGCATTGTGTACTACTATTATCCGTTTGAGTTGAGTGTAGTGAAGGCATAATAGACCACTATTAACTATTTAAGTAGAGCGTAGTGATGGCATAATATATTACTATTATATGTTTGAGTCGAACGTAGTGACGACATAAGATAACTACTACATAAAATACTACTATTATCCGTTTGAGTTGAGGGTAGTGATGGAGTAATATATTATTATTATTTAGTTTGAGTTTATCGTTGCGCCAACATAATATACTACTATTATACATTTGAGTTGAGCGTAGTGACGACATAATATACCACTATTATCCATTTGAGTCGAGCATAGTGACGTCATAATATATTACTATTATCTGTATGAGTCGAGCGTAGTGAAGACGTAATATATTATTATTATTATTTGGTTTGAGTTTAGCATAGTGATGGCATAATATATTACTATTATCCGTTTCAATCTAATGTGGGGACGGCATAATATACTACTATTATCCGTTTGAGTTGAGCGTAGCGACGACATAATATACTACCATTATTTGTTTGAAATAGGCATAACTACGGAATAGCGTACATATTATCTATGAGTATTTGGTTGAATAACGACTAGGTATAACGATTTTCTAGAGAGTTAGCGAGAGTAACGACTAGGTATATTAGCGTTTCCTAGCAACTGGCCAGCGTAACAACTAAGCATGATTTTCTATTAGTGTGAGGTAGTATAACAACTAGGCATAATATTATCTTTAAAAGTTGGGCAGAGTATCTACTCGGCATAATATCATCCTATTGTTATGAGCATAATTATCTAACTAATATTATACAAATAGTAATAACTATGAAGTATGTTTATTTTAACATGTATTCCCCCTCCCCCCCCCCCCCAAAAAAAATGGTTTAGAAAATGGGGATGTAAACTCACCCCTTGAAGCGTGAAGCCGTTGATGTAGGGTAGAAATCGGAAGTCCGGAACTTGTGAGGCGCTCGGTATCGGCCAGACTCAAGGGAATAACGATATTAATAAAAAAAGAAATTTCTTACGGATTCTATAGCAAATTTCTGAAGTAGAACGAGATAAAGAAAGAAGAATTGAGTGAGGGATGAAGGAAGGAGGCAACTCAATTTATAGGAAAAATTTTCGGAGTGCACCCAGAGTGCACTCGGCACGCTGTACAAATGGGTGGTGTTTGTGGTGCCATGTGTCAGCTTTCTGGTGGTCCATGTGCACCGTGCACCCGACGTGCACTGCACGTTGTGCAAATCGCTGATTTTGTAAAATCCATAACTTCTGCATATGAGCTCCGTTTTCAACGTTCTTTATATGCACGCATACCTCTCGACAAGTACTACAACTTTCCTTTAGGTTGCATTAGCTAATTCTGAATTATTTTAGCACTTATTATTATACAATTTAAATGGTTTACGAAAATCATATCTCTCTCACACGGACTCCGATTTTGGTGTTATTTTGCTCGAAATTCTTATCTCGATGAGTACTAACATTTTCCTTTTGGTGACATTAGCTAAAAGTCAAACATTCTCTTCGTAGCTTTTTGACGTTGAAATTTTGCGTGCGCGGTTGATTTCTATATCTTCTAAAATTCATAACTAATTCATACGAATTCAGATTTCTACGAAATTTATATTTTCGGGATCACGTTTGATGTAATTTTTACAATTTACGGAGGATTCAGTTGATTTTTTTTCTTATTTATCTTAATACGAAACTTGTATTTTGATCATAGTTTAATAAATCTTACTTATTAACTCTATTATACTCGACGTTTGTTACTTTTGGCGATTAACGATCGGTAACAATTTTGGCGATTGTTACAAACTCTTTTGTTGAATCTAGTAACAAAATCCTCTCAGGTCATAGACTCAACCACTCCTAGTCTGAGGCCCTGAACAACCTTGCGCTGTAAATCTGCATCTCTATTATGCAACAGACACGCTGCAAACCTGAACTTAGCCTCTGTTGAATAAAAGCTGGCAAGAAATGCACTCTCTACATCGATGATCCAACATCTACTGACGATATGCTGCCTATTTCCCATGAATTGTGGAGCCCCACAAACATCAAACTCCATGAAGGTAACCTCACGAGACCATGGCCGACTTGCCTCCAACTCAGCTCGCAGAATGCTAAAGCGATCGTCTATCATTGAAATCAACTCATCTAATAGTTCGATTTTAATAATTTATTTTAGCATATTTCATTCTTAATTTAGTTAATTGTCATGCATATATATATATTTTTTTATTTTCCATCTATATCGGGTACTTTCTAGTTTTTTAGCTTTATTGCAGATATTTAGAGAAATTGAGCATAACATGGAGGGAGATTCGGAAGACAAACAAAGTTCGAGCAAATGATCGGGATTGTTGGGGCTTATCTGTAATGTCCCAAATTTCACGGCAAATTTTTTCATTTTTATTTATTAAAATATATCAGAGTGTAATTTACATTATGTGAAAGCGGGTGTGTACAGTCGAACCTTGCCATTCTCACGAATCGATGAAGTTCCTGAAAAGCATTTAAAAACAACTGGGTAAGGACTAGGCTAAGTGAGTTCCTCAAAATACCATATACCACAATACAATACATGCATACAAAAGGGCCCCACCCAAACAACATAATGGGCCCTACCCAAACTACTTAATAGGCCCCTCCTGACATACATAACGGGCCCCACCCAAAATATGTGATAGGCCCCACCTGACATACATAACCATACATAGAATACACCTGATACATACACATAGAAGCTTATACTATCGACTCAACTCTACTAGCTCATATGCTGTAACAAACATGGATATATATTGTAACATATATTATAGTAATATAACTCACGTGGACAGTTTCTCAGAAGATTAACAGCTTTCTAGGTGATCCCACTGGCGGTCAACGCGTCTAACGAGTATTAACCTATAATACTATACTTATTATTCCATATAGGAATCTAGTATTGAAAGGCTAGATCTTTCACTAATCCCAGTTAGTACTGAGAGTTCTATCAAATAAGAATCGGCCATGTAGGACAGTTGGGAGGCAGGATCATTTCGACATATAGTTTTTCTGAAATTCAACAACCATGCCAACATGACCAATCTACACACCTCTCCCGTAAGAAGATCAATCAACATTACGACCGGAATTAGTTAGATACCCACTAGAGCTAGGATTTCCCGAGTTCGGTGAAGCCATTTGAGTTGCAGATAAAGCAAGTGGAGTTGTATGCTAGAGTAGTTTTATATGTTTGTTATTCGATGCCCGAATGTTTCTTGCTTTGTGGTTTGTGGAACTCTTGAATGATGGGATTCAGCTACTAAGTGAATATGACGATATTCAGGAGGTAGATGGCTGGAATCATGAGGAGTTCTTCAGCAGCTAATGGCAGAGAAGTGTGAAAACCTAGGAGAGCCTAGGGAGTAATTCTAGTCCGATGAGTACGCTGTTTAGAGGTGAGTATTCACTGGAGAGCGAACATGTGTAATGGGATTGGAGATCGAGAAGGTTGAGCAGCTACTTAGGGAATCTGGGACGATCCGTGCAGAAGGTATGGGTAGATGTTGCAGGTAGTATGGGCCCGTACTACTGAAAGTAGAGGACCCATACTCGAAACAAGGAAATTTCCAGAGGTTCTAAGCAGCAGGTTGAGGAGAGATAACATGGTTCGGGTACCATGATTCATAGAAGAGTAAGTTTCCGTCTTTACCATTTAACCGACGATGGGTGTTCAGACTGAGAATAGATATGGTAAACAGTGGGGCCAGAGGTCCATGTCGGTTGAGCTTCAAAACAGTGTACCGTGCGAGGAAAATTGAGTTTAGATCCCGAGGGGTTTGACTGGTGAGGTGCCAGTTGGAGTTACAGGACTCGAGGAAAAGTGGAGATGATGCTTTGTGGAGGATTGTGGTCTGGGTTGAGTGATCGACCGATGGTTGAGATGTCACTTTTTGTGATGAGAATTACACTATTTCCGCTTTCTGTGTGGAGTGAAGGAGATAACGAGCTTCCAGTTTCAGAGTCTGGAGGTAAACCCCGTGGGGTATCATATAGTTGCGATATTTTCACCAGGGTATTTTGTAGTATGTCTTCTGCAAGGTATTTCTTATACCATAAGAGAGTCATCAGTGGGAACTGAGATGGATGAGGATAAGGATATGCCTTAGTTGATTATAGTAAGGAATATTTTAGCAGCAGTTCCAGGTAATCAAGAGGAGTATATCGGGGCGACGGCCCTTGTTGTTTACAATGTATATCGACCGTGAGAGTGAGGTCTCTTGCTTCTATGATAATTCGCATGGTGGATGTTGGCTGAGGAATCAGAGATGAGGAGTGTGGGATAGTTCATTGAGAGTCGTAACTAATCTGGGACAGTCGAGATGTCCGGTGATATGTCATTATGAGATTTGGGTAACTAGAGACAGTCACATTGGGAGAAGTCTGAGGTTTTCATCTGAGATACGGGATATTCGGAGTTATTTGGTCTTTATCTGTAAGGTCATCGAGTGTTGCGTGGTACGTTCCATGAGTCGGGAATGGTACATATGGTGAGCCGGTCTGTAGTGTGGTCTGTTTCGTATGTCAATGGACGATGGTTTGAATCCTAAGTGGAGGGAAAACTGTGTATTCTGCGGGGAGGATCCTCAATCTGATGCGGTACAGAAATTTAGGTTATGGGGATCTGAGGTCCGAGCATAGGAGACTGGGGGCATGTAGTAGTCGAGGCAACGTGCAGAGCGAGATGATGCATGTTACATATGCTCAGGAGAGAAACAATGTCTTCACGACAAGTGGCCGTTGGACAGGAATCTGGTTAAGGCCCGTGTTTCTTCGGGTGTGCCAATGTTTGAGTTTCGAGACGGTTGGGTTGCTGAGGTAAAGATTCGTTGATGAGTGATTGATAGTTCGACGTATAGGTTGTTATTTGTACTCCGGGAAGGGCAGCAGTTGATTTGTCAATCAACTTCAGAGTCGGTATGAGTAGTTCCGCATGGGCTTGATCAGTAGAGGATGGGGCATTAAAACATGTCAAGTTCATCAAAACATTACAACTTTGTTTTCAAAATATTATTTATCAGAGTATTCCCCAGAAACATAAACATAATATGAGGAGCTGTACGATCATGCCTTCGCCTTGCCGCGATCCCCTGATGTACCTGAAACAATAGACTGAAACTGTAAGCCCGAAAGCTTAGTGAGTTACCCCCAAAATACCGATACACATACAGTCCACATAACCATGTCAGCAATAACATATCATAACAAACTGAACAGAACAGCACATAACGGGTCCACAGCCCTACAGACTGTAATACCCCCGAGCCCACAGTACGAGTCTCCCTTAGCCCGTAACTGGAATGCTCCTAGGGTTTGTTGGCTACCGCACGAAGCAGTACAACCTCAACCCATCCCATAACAAACACATAACATAACCACTGAGAATGCAATAATCACATAACATCACAGGTAGTCCTACAGATCCACCTAACTGGCATAACCACTAGCATGCAACACTAACTCGTACTCAACCTCTAACACTGCTAGGATAATATATCCAATGGGCCGGCCTTGGTGCCTTAGACCCCTTAGTATTATGAGGATAACTCACCTTGAAACTGTCGTCTAAAACTAGAAAGCTCAACTCCCGGATCACCAACACGAACTCCACCACCTATAGTTACCATAAAACCCCTTTTTCATAAATCTCCAAACTACCAGAATACCCTCAGAGGTCAACTAGTCAACCCTTGGTCCAAGTCAAAGTCCACAGTCAAAGTCAACAGTCCACATGGGAACTCTAGAGGCTGCAGCTTTCCATGCGGCCTTTGATGCTCGGCCTTGACCATCCTACAGGTCAAGCACCTCTCGACGTACCAAGCGATTTATCGCTTCATGTACGGCCACCAATAGCTCAAACTTAAATCCCGGTACATCTTGGTGGCCCCCGGGTGAATAGAGAAATGATACTTATGAGCCTCCTCCATAACCGTCTGCCTAACCCCACTAGACATCGGAACCCAAACCCGACCACATCGGGTCAATAGTCCCTGACTATCCTGCACGAACCGGGTATTCTCACCCTTGATTCTCTCCGGCTTCCAATTCTCCGGTCGCATGCCCTCTACCTAGGCATCTCTTATCAAACTCACAAGCGGAGAATCCACCGCTATCCTCATACATACCGCGGGGGTGGAAGACCCAGCTGACTTGCGGCTCAAAGCATCCGCAACCACATTCGCTTTACCAGGGTGGTAAAGGATCTCGCAGTCGTAGTCCTTGACAACATCCAGCCACCTGCGCTGCCTCATGTCAGGTTCGGCTGATCCATGATATGTCTCAAGCTCTTGTGATCCGTGTAAATGGTACAGAGGACCCCATAGAGGTAATGTCTCCATATCTTGAGGGCGAACACCACCTCCCCCAGCTCCAAGTCATGCGTAGGGTATCTCGTCTCATCCGGCTTCAGCTGCCGCGATGCGTAGGCTATCACTCGTCCTCTCTGCATGAGGACTGCCCCTAAACCTGTGATGGATGCATCACAGAACACCACAAAATCCTCAACTCCCTCCGGGAGTGTCAAGACTGGTGCCTCACACAAACGCTGATGGAGGGTCTCAAACGCCCTCTGCTGCTTGGGGCCCCACCGGAAATCCACCCCCTTCCTCGTCAGACGAGTGAGGGGTACAAAAATCTTGGAGAAATCCCATATGAACCTCCGGTAGTACCCTGTCAAACCCAGAAAACTCCTAATATCTGAGGGAGATTTCGGAATCTCCCACTACATAACCGCCTCGATTTTGGCCAGATCGACCAAAATCCCCTCCTGGTTAACGAGATGTCCGAGGAACTGGACCTCTTGTAACCAAAACTCACACTTCGAGAACTTGGCGTACAGCCGTTCTCGTCTCAGAACTCCCAACAGCTCTCGCAGATGCTCCTCATGCTGCTCTCGGGTCTTGGAATACACCAAGATATCATCTATAAACACTATGACCGAGCGATCAAGCATCGGTCTGCAGACCCGATTCATCAGGTCCATGAACACTGCTGGCGCGTTGGTGAGCCCAAACGGCATCACCACGAACTCATAATGTCCATAACGAGTTCGGAACGTGGTCTTCTCCACGTCCTCCTCTCTAACCCTGACCTGAT